AAGAATGCTTGTGTTTATTGCAAACAATCTGGACATATTATTACAGATTGTCTTAAGCTGAAGCAAAAGGGGATTAATTCCAAGCAGAAATCCAATCATCGAGTATATCAAGCAACTAGTTCTCCATGCCCTAAATCAATTCCTATAGTGTCATCTGCATCATCTACTACAAATAATCCTAGTTTTGTGGAAGGCAAAGATTCACCTATCTCAGATGACGTTCGAAAATTGGTACAGAATTCAGTATCCTCAGCTATTACTTCTGCTTTTTCTGCTATTGGTCTATCTGGTAAGAATTCAGCATTTACTTCTTTTGTAAATCCTCTTTGGTTCATTGATTCTGGTGCTTCAAATCATATGACTAGAGCTCATGCTACCTCTAGTTTAGCCAAACCTTTCCAAGGGAATAATAAAATTGAAACCGCAAATGGTGAAAACCTTGATATAGTTGGTACAGATAATCTTACATTATCTGTAGCATCTCAATCCTCCTTTCATTTGCCAAATGTCTTTCTAGTACCCAAATTAACTACTAACCTAATTTCTGTTGGACAACTTGTTGATGATTTTGATCATGTTGTTTCTTTTTCTCGTTCTGGTTGTGTTATATAGGACCGTCACACTGGGATAGTGAAAGGGAAGGGGTGTAGGATTGGTCGCTTGTTTGCCTTGGAATTTGACAAAGGACACAGTGATGTTGGTTTATTTGTTTCTTCTAATAAAGATGTCTCTAGTTCTCATAATCTTTGGCACTTATGGCATTGTAGACTTGGTCATCTCAATGTTAAGAGATTAGATACATTATTTACTTCTGGTCTTTTGAATAATAAAACTTTGCCATTGGATTCCATTGATAAATCTTGTATTAGTTGTTGTTTGAGTAAAAGTGCAAACTTACCTTTTCCAACTCATTCTTCAACTCTAACTAAACCTTTTGATTTGATACGTAGTGATGTTTGGGGTCCTTCTCCTGTTTCATCTAGATTGGGATATAAGTATTTTGTTTTATTTATCGATGATTGCACAAGATTCACATGGATATATTTTATGCGACACAAATCTGAAGTGTTCTCTCATTTTAAGACCTTTTTGTCCATGATTGGAACACAATTTGATACTAATATAAAAATTCTTCGTTCTGATTCTGGGGGTGAATATTTACTAAAAGAATTTCAAGAATTTTTGAAGGTTGAGGGTATTCAGTCTCAGAGGTCATGTCTTGCTACCCCACAGCAAAATGGTATTGCTGAAAGGAAAAATCGTCATATTTTAGGGGTAGTTAGGACTTTGTTATCTAATTCTCATGCTCCTCCTAATTTTTGGGTTGAGGCTGCTTCTACGACAGTTTATCTCATTAACCGTATTCCTTCTTAAGTATTGCATAACATATCTCCATATTACTCCTTGCATAAATGCCATCCTGATTATTCTCGTTTACATGTTTTTGGTTGTGTGTGCTTTGTTCATTTACCACCTCATGAAAGGACAAAATTATCAAACCAAGCTGCCATGTGTGTTTTTGTTGGATATGGTGTTGATCAAAAGGGTTTCCTATGTTATGATCCAAAAATTGGTAGAATTCGTATTTCTAGACATGTGGTTTTCCTAGAAAATTTATTTTATTTTGATGCAATTGCAAAACCCAATAATTCCTCACCTTCTGTGTTGCATGACTTTTCTCTTGATCATAATACTCCAGCAAAACAAGTTTCCATTGATCCATTCCATGCGGCAGATGAACAACCTCAAACTTGTTCCTTTCACCAACCAGAAGATGGTACACCTGTGGATGCTCAATCAGTAAGTGATTCTAATCCTGCCTCTAATGCCTCTACTAATTCCATTATTTCTTTACGTCGTTCTGCTCGTACTATTCATCCACCTGATCGTCTTAACCTTTTTACCTCTATCTCTTTGTTGACAACATTAGATTTTGTTGATATACCTCGTTCTTACCAAGAGGCTATTAGCATTCCTTGCTGGAAGGAAGCTATGGATTCTAAATTAAGTGCCTTATTGGAGAATGATACTTGGGATATGGTACCTTGTCCTTCTAATGTGTCTATTATTGGTAGCAGGTGGGTCTTTTCTATTAAGCTCAAAGCAGACGGTAGTATTGAGCGGTATAAAGCAAGACTTGTTGCCCAAGGTTATAAGCAAGAGTATGGAATTGATTACATAGAAACATTTGCACCAGTGGCTAAAATGACTACAGTGAGATTATTTATTGCTCTTTCGGCAATGCATCAGTGGCCTATTTCTCAAATGGATGTGAAGAATGCTTTTATGCATGGGAATTTGAAAGAAACTGTTTACATGAAGCCTCCTCCAGGTTATTCACATTCTAAATCCATGGTTTGCAAATTAAAGAGATCATTATATGGTCTTAAGCAAGCTCCTCGAGCTTGGTTTGAACGCTTCCGTCAAGTTATTGTGGATGCTGGGTATGTTCAGAGTTTTCATGATTATTCCTTGTTCATGCATAACTCTTCGCAAGGTGTTACTTTACTTTTGATTTATGTCGACGATATGCTTATTACTGGTAGTAATAAGGAAGGTATTGCTAAGTTGAAAGAGTTACTTTGTCGTTCTTTTCAGATGAAAGATTTGGGGCCACTGACTTATTTTCTTGGTTTAGAAGTTCACTCATCTTCTCGAGCTTATGCGGTGAATCAACGGAAGTATGTTTTGGATTTGATCCAATTTGCAAATTTATCTGATGATAAGTGTGTTGACACTCCAATGGAAGTAAATGTTAAGCTTAGGCAGGAGGATGGTGAAAAACTCTCTAATCCTAGCTTTTATCGTCAACTTGTGGGTCGCCTCCTTTATCTTACTATGACTAGACCTGATATTGCTTATGCTGTGCAAGTGGTTAGTCAATTTGTTGCAGATCCTCGGCGGTTACATCTAACGGCTGTTCTTTGCATAATTCGATATCTTCGTGGCACTATTTCAAGGGGACTTTTCTTCTCCTCTCATCCTTGTATGCAATTGCAAGCTTATGCAGATGCTGATTGGGCAGGTTGTCCTGATACACGTCGCTCAACCACAGGTTGGTGTGTGTTTCTTGGTGATTCCCTTATTTCTTGGAAATGTAAGAAACAGAAAACAGTGTCCAAATCCACTGCTAAAGCTGAATACCGAGCAATGTCTTCAGCATGTAGTGAATTGACTTGGCTTCGAGGATTTTTACAGACACTTACTTTTCCTACTCCTCCTTCACCTCTTTATGCTGATAATATGAGTGCTATTTGTACTGCATCCAATCCTGTCTTTCATGAGCATACCAAGCACATTGAAGTGGATTGCCACTTTATACGGAATATGTATCTTGCAGGTGCCATTACTCTTCCTTATATTGCTTCTGAGCATCAAACTGCAGATATTTTTACAAAGGCAATGACAACTGCACGACACAAGTTTTTAGTGAGCAAACTGACACTGGTTTCCCAACCTCAGTTTGAAGGGGAGTGTAGGAAATAGGCATATTTTGTAATTTTGTTTTATATTAAGGGCTTTTATGTAACTTTACATTTTATATAACCTAATATAAATATGTTGCTAAGGGTGAGCAGCTCTGTAATTTTGTTTTGCACCCTCCACTTCCGCCTCACTTTACAGTATGTATTTTCAGCTCAATTAATTTGCAGTTACAGCTATTTTTGAGATATGAATGTTGGCGGTTTGCCACAACAAATGTTTGAATCCGGGTCAAAGTTCCCAATTAAGTCAAAAGTCAAGGATGCCTTAATAGAATTCAGAAGATAACAGGTATTCACCCAAAACTCTAAATTACAAATTTTAAATTTAAACTTTAATAAAGGTAAGGAGGTATTAAAGGAAGGAAATAATTATTTTTTATTATATAATTATTATTTTGATGAAAAAAATAATAAAATAAAATTAATATTTTATTTTTATAGTATATTTAATTGAATTGAAAAGAATGAAGAAGAGGCAAAGGAAGAAAAAAAATTATTTAATTATAAAAAAATTGAAGGGGAAGAAAAGAATTTTTTTTTTATTTTTTTAATTTAATTATTTATCTAAATAAGAGAAAAAGAGGAGAAGAGAATGGAAAGAAATGGATTCCTTTCCCTTCCCTCCATTCTAATCAACCCAAACACAGAGTTAATCTTCCAAGTCAATTTAAATTTTGGCAAATTATGTAAATCAATTATTAAACTTGCATTGTTGTGTAAAATCAAGATCAGTCTCTTAATTATCTTATTGCCAAATCAGCCACTATTCTCATCGAAAAGGACATATTGTGCCCCTAACCTACCAACAATTAATCCCAGATGCCAAATGACTAACAGAAATAATGTACCTATTTAGAATTCTTATTTTTGTCTTTGGTATATTTGATGATAAAATATATAGCATACTAATCCTCTAATCCTTTCTTAAATCTTTCATTATGACTTGTTTCATGCAACATTCAAACTTAAAACCTCTAACTATCTAACAAGAATGTTGAATCTCTTTAACTATTATGACATTCTCAAATGTGATCAAGGTTCATTTTCTAGAAGTATTTGTTTTATATATGTTTATTATGTGGGGTTGCTACTGTCCTCATCATCTCAATGATCGCTTTTTTTTTTTTTAATGGGAAATTTAGGGAAAGGAATAACTCTACAAATCATTAGGAGTTGAACTCAATTCAGCCTTAATGCGTCAAACTTTTAGGCGTTGATGATGAACCAATTGATCAATGGGTTGGTTAATCATCTGAATGATCTTGAGTCTTAATGCTTGTCATAATAATCCATTTTGAAAAAGTAATGTACATTTCTTGAACAAAAAGGTGGGGAATTTGGGGCAGGGGATACTTTACAAAGCTTCAGTTGGAGTTGAACTCAATCCAACCTTTATATGTCAAGCTCTAAGGCTTTGAGGATGAACCAATTGACCTAGGGAGCTAGTTGATTGAATGATCTTAAATCTCAACATGTGTCAAGATAATCCATTTTGAAAAAAATAAGGTATATTCCTTGAAAAAAAGGTGCTAATTGTACATTTGGCTTACCGCTTTACCTTCTGTTGCTGAATGATTAAAATCGAGCATGTCCCTTCTAAATCTTTCGATACAAGCAAGTCACCAATAACCCCAAGCTCATGGATTTCACTCCATTCTTTTAGACCTGACGTTTGGGGACTGTCTATATTATTTCGTCTTCCAACCACTACCAAGTTGTATTCACTAGCTACTGACCGAAGAATCATTGCAGTTTCCGATCCCACTTTGACAACCGTCTCCATGTATTTGATCCCTTCAGTACTTTTCACATCCCTTAACACAACAGAATCAAGCATTATGTCCCACTCGGGCATACCTGTGTTGGTATTTGCTTCGAGGGCAATGACAGTCAAGCTAGCCCTGTCGTTTTGGGCAAAGCGTTTGGCGAAAATCAATGCCTCTCTGTCATCAGCACCTCCTAGGAAAATCATGGCGACGTTGAATGATGTAGCTGAAGATGATGATCTTGATGCTGTGGAAATGGATCGACTTACAGTGCCATGGTGACTTAGTGTGGCACGGTCAATGAAAATTCCCACAGAACATGGTGATACATTTAGAATTTGAGAGTTAAGGGTCCTTATTTCGTTGTCCTCAAACTCAATAGTTCCATCAGGACACCATCTCTGATGGAACGGTAGCAGGATTAGGGATGACTGTTTGTCGAATGCAAGATTGCAAATATCATCATGCATTGAGTTAGGTGGAGAGACCGCGGTGAAGACATTTACGGACACAGCCCCCCAGTTGCTTTGCTCGAATTGGTAAAAGAGAAAAGTAGCGTTTCCAAAATAGGATAAATCAGATGTGGTCTTGGCTTGCTTCTGGTGGGAAATGAAAAGTGAAGATGCCCGGCCGGTGAGCTTTACTAGGTGAAGAACATTGATGGCCAGGGGATTTTCTTTATTCGGGCACGTGACATCCAAAAGTTTGATCATTGGTATAACATCATTTGGTGTATGGATGCAAGCAACTATCTGCAGCTCACTGTTTCGCTTCAAATCCGCAATGTTCCTTTTCTGATATGCTGCATATTTTTTTGAGGGATCATACAGCAATTTCACGAGTACTGGTCCAGTAGTTCCCATGGCAACAAAGATAAGTGAAATCATAGTGTACAAAGCATCATTTATCTTCTGCAACATTAATTATTGAATGTATATTAGAAAACAACGTTAATTCTCAACAAAATGAACAAAAGAAGACATGGAGCTGCATATATGCATATAGATTGAAGGGTGAATTATTACCACGTAATCATAAGTAAAAGCAAATAATCCGATGTCAACAACGCCTCTATTGTTCAGGATGAGAGCAAGTGATGCGGAATCTTTTATGGGCATTTTGCATAACGTTAGGGATAGCACGAACGATACACAGAATTTAACGACCAATGTTTCCAAGCAAAGAAATGTATACTTGTGCACAAGTTTGTTCCCCAAGTCTTCAGACGAGAAATTAAATCTCAAGGAGATGGTTGCGACGCAAATGGGCAATAAAAGCCCATTGAGGATGCCATCAAACTTGCTCACCAAAGTAGACCCAAATGGCGGTCCCTCTGGCACGGCCAACCCAATAACTAAAGGAAACCAGACGAGGAAAACGGTGTTAAATCTTGTAACGTAAGTTGTCAACAGAACCAAAAATAGGATGGCATAAACATAGAAATCTTTCACGGGCCTATCTTCAGGAGTGTTTCTAACCACCCACTTCATCGCTGGCCTGAGCAGGAATACGGCAGCAATGACGGCCAAAATAGGTGACGCTAGCATCACTGAATAGTATGGAAAATCTTTGGATGAAGCATGTCTTGCTACCTTTTCTAAATTTATCATCTCGTTAACCACAGAAGTGGTTAAGCCTAATAGGTCAGCCACAAGGGCTGATGATAATCCCAGTCTGCCGAGTTCAGAATTCAAGATTTTCAGCTCTTCAAGGAGCATTGCTACCATTGGAAAGGATGTCATGGCGAAAATTGATGACAAAAGCGGAGGTCGCAGATTCTTAATAGTATTGTGTTGATACCTGCGATCTCGCCGTATAGATAACGTGTTCGAGTAACCAAAATATATAGGCAAATACAAGGACAAAACACCAATGCACCAAGGCATTATCCCCGATTTCTTCATCATTCCTAAATCTGTTTTCACCGCACATTGGAAAACAAACAACACAAAGCCTATAGCAGCTGTGGTTCCAAGCACTTCCATGTTTTCATATTTGTCCTTTACGAGTTTTCTAAGTCCAGGTCCGAGAACTATTCCAGCCTGTAACATTTGGAATCATTAAATCATTACAACATGATACCTATATATGCCACATGTGGAATATGAGGAAACAAAAATTCAAGCACTAGAAAATATGAGCAATTGAGGCATACGTACAATTATTTGTGAGAAGAATATGGGAATTCCCAGCTTCTTGAGCAGAAAATGAAAGATCTGGGTTACCAAAAGGATCAAAGCTACCTGAAGCTCCAATCTCGGCAATGAATATTCATTAACACTATACCCTCGATCCCCCCAATAGCCCCCTGAACTTACATTTATTGGCGTTGGAATGCATACTTGAATAGCATTATTTTCCATATTGCAAAGTAATTGGATGAAATCTACGAAAACGAGGTTGAGAGCGAGATCAATCAGAATGAACCATGGAAGGCAGGTTTAAGGGTCTATTGATCGTATATATGGAAAAACTGAAATCGATGTTTTGGTTAGATGGGCTGCAATTCTAACAATTTTTTTCAATTTTAAACATGCATGAAATTTTTATGCATCTTCTTAGTTCATATAAGATCTGTCACTAACGAATTTTTGTATAAAATCTGTTAAGAAATTTTTTTTGTTTTAGGTTGCACATCCAACAAAATTTTTTTACAGCTATATAATATAACTGAAAATTTTTTTTAATGGCAAAATCTTTTATTAATTCTGAGGGTAAGGATACTCCAACCTGTTACAACTACCAAAACGCCAAAAAAAATACAATGGTATATCACTCTTGCAGTCATAGAAAAAGCTTAAAGAAAAAGGGGATTGACCCAATTATTCTCGTGTCCTCTTGTATGTTTCTACACCTCTTCCTGCAAATTGTCTTCAGGCAAAGTAGTGGTTCAAGCATCCAATCATTAAAATAAAATTAAACCTGTATCTCCTTGATCTTCCCATAATCCAGTGAATTGCCTTTGGTTGCTCGAACTCAAAGAAATAATTCGCTTCATCCACAAACTCGTAGTTTTTGAATATTTTCTTATTTCTAGCCAGTCAAAATGCCCATACCTCTGAACAACAAACTATATCCCATCCTTCTTTGCTAATTGAAACCTGCATGATTTTTTAATGCAATTGTAGATAATATATTTGTTCCTGAAAGTCAAATGAACAAGAAAAATTATAATAAAATGAATATTTGTCTAATGGTTAAATGTCAATTTTAGTTTCTCAACTTTTATTTTTGAATAGTTTTGGTTTTTGAACTATTTTAAACACTTTTTAGTCTTTTAATTCTAAAAAATGTACATTTTATACCATTTCATCAGTTAAATATGAAATGGCCCATCAAATAAATCAACATGGCATTTTCCTTTAATTTTTTAATGATATATCATTTACATGACATACAACTAACTTATGTGTACATTTTATTATTTTTTGCAATCAACATCCTTTATAATTTTTACTCTAGTCAATGTCCTTCATAATTTAAAACTCATAAAAAATTCAAAATTAACAACCATGTGCAAATTAAGGTGCAAATAGGTAGTTTGATTGTTAATTTTTGGATTTGTTATAGGTTTCAAATTCTATAGTGTAATTTTTAATTTATTGAAGAAATTTCAACATTTTACAAATTATTCAAAATTGTGAAAATTATGTTTAAAGTGAGAATTAATTAAAAATTTTCACTTTTTGTCTAGTTGAAATATCTAAAATGTGTTTTTTCTGGGATCAAACTGAGGAGGAATTCAAGTTTCAGGACCAAATTGTCGATGAAAGGGATCAAATTGCAATCCGTAAGAGAGATGCGCGACCAAAATGGAAAAATAAAAAAGTTGAAGGATAAAACGCATTCCCAAGCTTAAAGAAGCGGCGCCGTTTTGCCAAAAAAAACCTATATTTAAATTCTATATTTTAATTTAAAATTTAACATTTAAAATTTAATTTTATTAAATATTAATATATAAATTTAAAAAATTATTATATTAAAATATATAATTAGTTGTTTATGCCTTTTCCTTTCCTTTCCCTCCACCTTCCCCAATCCAAACTAGCTAATTGAGTGTAGAGCGGCGAGGCCCTCTGTTTGTCAGTTGCTTATGCCTTTGCAAAATTTTAGTTTTTCATCTTCTTGTTACTCTATGGTGGTCCTGTTAATGTGTTTCTTTTGAAATGCGAATATGTTTACTTTGTTCTCCAGATTTGAAGATTAGTTGAAGAATAATATCATGCATGTATTTTCTTTTCAAGAATATTGTTATCCGTCTTACTTTTTAAAAATTAAAAAAAATAATTTTAAATTTTTTTTTTTTTATTAATTTTTTTTTAAAAAACAAAAATATTTTATTTTTAAAATATGAATTATATTATTTTTATTGTTTATGGTATTTTATTGAAATTACATAATTTTACAATAATTTTTCCTTTAATTTTTAAAAGTTAAAACAAATAAATATATTTATATATATAAATAGGAATTTATTTATACATTATACTTAAACAAAATTTCATAACAGATGAGATTCAACTCTTTCACTGTATGAGGAAAATCAATTAAATCCTAAAATTTCCTGAAGAATTGAACTCTCAAATTGAAGAATCAAATTTAGGCATTAAAGATTCGGCTTTTAGATCCTATATTTGAATCTTAATTGTAGAATAATAGTTAGCTCTTTTAATTTGACGAGTTTGCAAAGCATTCAATACATTCTAACGTCCCCAAATGGTTAGTTTTGACCTAAGGAAGATAAATAAGGTTGGTGGACACATTTATGAAGCTCTTAGATGCTACATTGAAGAATTCCAGCTACTTAATATTTTACTTACAAACAATTAATTTCTTGTGCTTTTTTTTTTATTTTTTTATCATTAAGTGATCTCTTCTTGTACTCCTCTACTATTATTGTGTGAGTGACATTTTGTATGTTTTATTCCTTTAAAAGTTATTTTGTAGTGAGGATTGTTGAGTTACATTCTAAAAGGGTGAGATTGTGAAAATTTTGTTTTCTTATAAAAAGATAGGATAGCTCTTTTAAACTATTCTTAAGTATTAGTAGAGAATGTAAAAAAAATTCTTAGTGAGTGAAATCAAGATGAAAAATTAGATACCAAGTATTTGGACTGGAACTCTGTAAAATCCTTTGTGCTAGCTTTTCTTCCCTTTTCTTATTTAATTTCATCTTGTGATTGCAAAAAGAAGAAAAATTTGAAGACTCCTATCATCCCATCCTTTGAAGTATTTGAGCAACAAAAAAACTCTTAGGGTATGTTTTGTTGATATCCTACTATTTCCCTCCCTTCCACTCCTTTGTTTGCATAAGTTAAAAGAAAGGAAGGAATTAACAACGAAAAATAAAGTAATAAATTCCTTCTCCTCTAATTTTTTGGAACTTAATAAAGGAATTGTCTCCCCTCCCCTTCGATTCGTCTCAAATCAAACATACCCTTAGACTTTAAAATTGAATCAATTGAACCAGTAGGCTAGTTGATCCTCTCAATGATCTTGAATCTTAATACCTGTTATAATAATCAATTCTGAAAAAGTACTATACATTCCTTGAAACAAAGGTGCTAATACATTTGGCTCACTTCTTTGTCTTTTGCTGCTGAATGATTAAAATCGAGCATGTGCCTTCTAAATCTGTCGATGCAAGCAGATCACCAATAACCCCGATCTCAGGGAATTCACTCCATTCTTTTAGACCCAATGTTTGAGGACTATCTAGATCATTTCGTCTGCCTGCTACTACTAGGTCATATTCAAGAGCCACTGACCTGAGAACCGTTGCAGTTTCAGGTCCGCCTTCGACGACCGTCTCCAAGTATTTTACCCCTCCAATACTTTTCACATCCCTTAGCACAATCGAATCAAGCATTATGTCCCACTCGGACATACCCGTGTTGGTATTTTCTTTGAGGACAATGACAGTAAGGCAAGCCTTGTCGTCTTGGGCAATGCGTTGGGCAAAAATCAATGCCTCTCTATCATCATCACCTCCCAGGAAAACCATGGCGACATTGAATGATGTAGCTTGAGCTATTGATGATGTTGATGTTTGGGAAATGGAGCGACTTAGTGTGGAACGGACAAGGAGGATTCCCACAGAACATGGTGACATATCTAGAATTTGGGAGTTAAGATTCCTTATGTCGTTGTCATCAAACTCAATAGTTCCATCGGGACACCATCTCTGATGGAACGGAAGCAAGATTAGGGATGACTGTTTATCCAATGCAAGATTGCAGATATCTTCATACATTGAGCTAGGTGGAGAGACTGCGGTAAAGGCATTTACAGACACAGCTCCCCAGTTGCTTAGCTCAAATTGGGAAAATAAAAGAACAGCATTTTCGAAATAGGATAACTCGGATATGGTCTTGTGATGCTTATGGTGGGAAATGAAAAGTGAAGATGACCGGCCGATAAGCTTTACTAGGTGAAGGACATTGATGGCCAGGGGATTTTCTTTGTTTGGGCATGTGACATCCAAAAGTTTGATTATTGGGGTAACATCATTTGGTATATGGATGCATGCAACAATCTGCAGCTCACTATTATGCTTCAAATCTGCGATGTTCCTTTTCTGATATGCTCCATATTTTTTTGAAGGATCGTATAGCAATCTCACTAGTACTGATCCAGTAGTTGTCATGACAAGAAAGACAAGTGAAACCGCAGTGTACAAACCATCGTTTACGCTCTGCAACATTAGATATTGAATGTAGATTAGAAGTGGACATTAATTCTAAACGAACAGGACAAGATAAAGGTATGTAGCTGCATATATACACACACAAATTGAAGGGTGAATTAGTACCGTGGAATCAAAAGAAAAGGCATATAGTCCCATGTCAACAAGTCCTCTGTTGTTCAAGATGAGAGCAAATGATATGGAATCTTTCATTGGCATCTTGTATAATATTAGGCATAGCAGCAAGGATACACAGAATTTAATTACCAATGTTGCCACGCAAAGGATTGTATTTAACCTGATGACATCGTTCGTCATATCAACAGACGACATATTGAACCTCATGGAGATGGTTGCGACGCAAATGGGCACAAAAAGGTTGTTAAGGATGCCTTCAAACTTGCTCAGCACAGCAGACCCCATCGGTGGTCCTTCTGGCACCGCCAAACCAATAATAAAAGGAAACCAGATGAGGAAAACGACATTAAATCTTGTGAAGGGAGCTGCCAATAGAAGCAATAAAAGTGTGCCATAAACATAGAAATCATTCACAGGCCTATCTTCTGGAGTGTTTCGAACAACCCAATTTAGCCCTGGCCTGAGCAGGAATATAGCAACAATGACAATCGCAATCGGTGATGCTACTATGATTGTATAGTATATAGTTTCTTCAGGTGGAACATGTTTTGCTTTATCTAGTATACCAGTTACGGCCATAACCATGAAACCAGTTGAACCTACCAGGTCAGATACAAGGGCTGATGACGATGCCAGTCTGCCGAGTTCAGAATTCAAGATTTTCAGCTCCTGGAGAAGCATTGCTACCACTGGATATGAGGTCATGGCAAACATCAATGAGATACCAATAGAGTGCGTAATAGGATTATTAGTTTGTCGAAGATTGGTGCGTTCTAGGAGTAGAATTTTTTTCACAGTAAAACATATAGGCAACAATAAGGACAAAACACCAATGCACCAGGGCCTTACTCCCGAGTTCCTTATTATTCTTAAATCCGTTTTCACTGCACTTTGGAAGACAAACAGCCCATAACCTATAGCTGACATGGTTCCAAGCACATCCATGTTTTCATATTTCTCTTCAATCACTTTTCCAAGTACAAATCCGATAACCATTCCAGCCTGTGCAATATTTGAATTTAAACCATTTTGACATGATGCCTCCCCCAAATGTGGAATATGAGGAAATAAAAATTCAAGTACTAGAAAATGAGGAATTGAAGCATACGTACAATTATCTGCGAGATGAATATGGGAATTTCCAGCTTCTTGAGCAGGAAATGAGAGGCCTGGGTCATCAACAGGATCAAAGCTATTTGAAGCTCGAGTTTGGGCAATGAATATTCATTAATAATAATATACTTATTTGTTTTGTTGGACCAATAGCCCCCTGAATTTACCTGCGGTGGTATTGGAATGCATATTTGCTGAGATACATTCTCTTCCATATTGCAAAGTTAATCGGATGAAATCTACGAAAAAGAGATTGAGAGCGAGATCAATGAGAATGAACCATGGAAGGTAGTTTTCAGCTTTCCATAGGATCTAATGATCCTATGGAAAAACTGAAAACGAAGAAGTTTTGGTTAGACGGGCTGCAATTCTAACAATTTTTTCCAGCTTTAAACATGCATGATTAATTTTGTATGCATCCTCTTCATTCATATAAAATCTGTCCCCCAACTAATTTTAGCATAAAAGCTGTTAGAAAGTTTTGGTTTTAGGATGCAATTCTAACTATTTTTTCCAGCTAGTTTAAATTAATTAAATCTACACTATTTTCCGATGCATTTTCTTAATTTTGCAAGCTGTTAGGATATGATGTCATTTGCACTTCATTTAGGTATTTTATACCCTAATTTACATAAAGTCAATACATTTCAGTTTGCTACCACTAATTTTAAAATATTTATTTGATTTCAGATTCAAAATCTGGCTGTAATCTCTGCATAGTTCTTGAAATCTAGCAGCTGGAACTAATTTGCCCCTTTAGTTTGTAGTGAACGGCATAGGTTTTTTTAGTTTTTCCGGCCGTGAGAATGGTATAGGTTGGGTAAATAAAGTGCTGACCTAGCAACTAGGTACAGATGAATCAATTAAATTTTGCTTTATATGTATGCTGAGGTCCTTTAGGGTATGTCATAATGGTTAAGAACTTTTTTTTTTTGACAAAAAACAAGTATTATTACTTAATATTTGGCATTAGTACATGGATCTCTTGGAAGGCTACTAAACCAGGCACCTTCTCAAGGTGGAGTGGGTGACAAAAGTTGTGCCCAAATGTGTACATGAATATTACGACAGTCTCTCTTGATATAGTTTCTGTTATGCTTAGTTTTTTTTATGTGATCGATTGTGTAAATATATTTGATATATGATAATAAGAATTGTAATTTTTTAATCTATAAAGAAACTGCGTCGTAGGAAGGCCAAAGGGTAAAAATCTTTCGAGTAAGTAGCAGTTGCATTTTGTGATTAGCAGATTTTCGAAGTGTCCCTATGTTTGGATGTGTACTCCGATGGCTTCTACATAAGATTGCTTTCCTGGGATTCTTTTTCTCATGGTAACTTATCAAAACTTTTAATCTATTGTAAGTATAGCGGATATTAACTTGATGTTTTGTATAATTACTCACACTGATTACGACATTCTTTCTACTTTGAGCTAGTGCGGGTGAAATCATTGTATTAATTGTATTAATTGGATTAGATCAAAAATTGATAGGAATGCTTTTTCTTCTTTTTTTTATTTACTGTCAATGTATATTCAAATTAATTTTTATGCATCTTAAAATTAATTTCTCTCTAAATTTAAGAATATATATATATATCTCTATATTGAAGTGCTGTATTTAAAAAAATTAACTTCTTTAAATGTTAATCAAAATTTGAATTCTAAATCTATCTTATAAAATAATACTTAGTTACTTATAGAGTGAATCCATCCTTTAGAGTTATGCTTATTCTCATGGTTTGTTCAACAGTCAAATAAACCAAGGTAGAAAGGAACAACCACCCATCAAAGAAAATAGTGTTCTTGCACCTTTGGTCCTTCCCATCGGCTATGGTTTCTATAATCTTATACTTCCCTGCATCTTTTTGGCAAGATTCACTTCACATTCACATAATCTGATTGGTGTACAGGAATAAAAGGATAAAGACAACCTCATAATTCAATTGCACTTTTGAAAATACCCTAAGGTAGAAAGGAACAACACCCCCATCAAAGAAAATACTGTTCTTCCACCTTTGGTCCTTCCCATCGGCTATGGTTTCAATAATCTTATACTTCCCTGTATCTTTTTGGCAATATTCACTTCACATTCACATAATCTGATTGGTTTACAGGAATAAAAGGATAAAGACAACCACATAATGAAATTGCACTTTTGAAAATACCCTAAATTTATTTAAAAAAGGATCTACCACAACATATAATATATGGAAATTGAAATCAAGGACATTCAGAGTCTGCAGTTGACCAGCACTACCTCCCACGATAAGTCTCAGTGCAAAGATCACTACCGCAATGACTGACCATCAGCAATGATTTCAAATACAATATATGATCCTGATATATCACTATATATAGAGGATGGATATAACCTAGTAACCTACATTATCCACAGCAAAAAACAGCAGCTTTGAAAAAAACTATGGCTAACTTACCAGTAAAGTTCCTGTTGTGTTCTCTGGTGATAGCAATCCTGCAGCTGCGAGGAACCCATGCAGTGTTATATGAAGTAACCAACAACGCAGCATCAACTTCAGGGGGAGCGCGGTTTACTAAGGAGATTGGGATCACATACAGCAAGCAAACACTAAAATCCGCTACAGAAACTATATGGAATCTCTTGAAACTAACAACACCAGCAGACAGAAAGAATGTGAAAAAAGTGAGCTTGTTTATTGAAACCATGGATGGAGTGGCATATGCAAGCAACAATGAGATTCATGTAAGTGCCGACTATATTGGAAACTACTCTGGTGATGTGAAGAAAGAAATCACAGGAGTGCTGATTCATGAGATGACACACATATGGCAGTGGAATGGGAATGGCCAGGCTCCTGGTGGGTTAATAGAAGGGATTGCTGACTATGTCAGATTAAGGGCTGGGTATGCACCGAGACACTGGGTACAAGCTGGGCAGGGTGATAGATGGGATCAAGGGTATGACGTTACCGCCTGGTTTCTTGACTACTGCAACAGTCTCAGGTGTGGGTTTGTGGCAGAGCTCAATCGAATGATGAGGAGTGGCTACAGTTCTGACTACTTCGTTCAGCTGCTGGGTAAGAAGGCTGAACAGCTTTGGAGTGACTACAAGGCTAAGTACAATAATGGTCATTGAATTTGATCAGCTGAGAAAAAATAAGTAATAACATAATATAGTATTGATATTTCTCTAATCATCAGGCAAAGCTAAGATAAGCTGCATAGACAGACAAGAAAGTCTCCTATGCATTCCATCTATATGTAAAATATTATCAAGGATAATGCTTGATATATATGTAAAAGCTATATAGAAATAAGAAACTTTTATCTTGGTCTCAGGCTCTCAGCAAGCAACCAAATACTAATTGATGCAGATTGTTCTT